AAACATGCATGTTAGGCTGATTGGTAACTCTAAATTGTCCCTAGGTGTGAGTGAGAGAGTGAATGGTTGTTTGTCTCGTTTGTCTCTATGTGTCCCTGTGATGGACTGGAGACCTGTCCAGGGTGTCCCCCGCCCCTCGCACAGTGATTGCTGGACATGGACACCAGCGACCCCCGTGACCCAAAATGGAATAAGCGGGTAAAGATAATGGATGGATGGATGGATTTCCTGGCTCTGCAGCAGAGATATAAACGATCAGTTTTAAATGAAATTTAAAGGATTTTTTTTCTGAAGTCATACTTGTTAGAAAAATTAAGGTTAGAGTTGTTTGTTAATAAACCGAGATGGGGGGGCGGATTACATTGTACGAAATTAAAACAATATATTTAAACGATAAACTTTAGTTTTACTCAAATCTTTTTGTTTACCATGATGGCAAACTTTGTTGTCTCGTGATAGCTTCTTTTTAATTTTATTAGGAGGCAGATCATCGTCCAAATAATCTAAAACCTAAATTTCCTAATTTAGTGTAAAAACTTAGTTTTGCACCTTTAAGCAGATTTTATGACATCACCACATTTTCTCTGGTGTTTTGTGTCGTGCTGCTGTTCCTGTTTGTAAAATCGAGTTAAACTTCTGCAATTTTTCTAAAATATCATTGCACAGATGCCAGACGTTCATTTTTTATGTATCAAACGATAAAATATCTGTTAGGAGGTCCAAATCTATTATCCGTGTCTAAGAAGTGAATCAGCTGATAAAGATATAAGAACATCTAGTTATGTTGTAAGAAGAGTTAAAATGTCCTTATTTTATAATCCCCATATGTTTCTCTTTTTAACACTATCATTTGCTGCATTCTCTAACGTGGGTGAACATATGATTGTAGCGCAGTGTCGGCTGATCTGCAGTCATTTCGGCTGTTGTCTGTGAAACTGAGGGTTCGGTGCTTTGTGTTAACAGACGGAGCATGTCCCCCCGTATGACGTGGTTCCCTCCATGAGGCCCGTGGTGCTGGTCGGACCGTCGCTCAAAGGCTACGAGGTGAGCCGGGTCTCCGTACGCTCAGATCTGAAAAAAGAAGCCGAATGTCTCAAAACACAAAAATCTGGGAGCGAATCGTCATCCGCACAGGGGTGTCCAAATATTTTCATATGTGGGCCAAATGTATCAAAATAAAAGAACTTGTGGGCCACAAAAGAAAAATAAAGTTTTATTTTTAAACTCAACAATGAGAACAATATTTTGGAAAAAAAGTACTTTTAAATAGTTGTAGATCCAACAAAAAAATGCCTCGTAAATTTAACCTTGTTAACAAAATAATTTGATTTGTTGGGTCTGTTGTGTTGTGTTTAATGTGCTTGTTAAAATAGATTTGAATCTATTCTTAGAAACCAAAAGGTAAAATAAAATGAAAGCACTTTATTTAGCCAGGTTTCATGAAAAATGAGTTGACGTTTTAGTAAAAGTCTGTAAAGGTTTGTGCAGCAGTTTGTAGCAGAAAATTGAAATAAATAAAATTATTAATTTTACACTGCTGTCTTAACATCACTTGTTCATCTTAAAGTATATTTAAGCTATGGATATTTTTTCATTTTTAGTCTTCAGTTATTTGCAAGTGGAAGAGGAAATGACATCACCAAACATAAAAGTGGTATTGGTCCAAAGTACAAGTACTTGAGGCGGGTATCAGGACCAATACCAGTATCAGTATCAGACCACCACACACACACACAAATTTTTTTTTTTAAATTTATTTATATATATATATATGAAAACAACA